CCCACTACTCATTGGAGCATATCCTAGGCTTTCCTACGTTCCTAACCTCGCCCTGCCATCAACTGCTGAAGAACTCCCCATGATGCCAGCCATCCACCACCTGGATATCGTCATATCCACTTAGTAGCTGATTCCTATTACTCAAGATTTCCACAAAGCACAAAGAAATCAACATTCGTGTTGTAGCACTCCGATCTAAAGAACTGCCATAGAACATTCAGCCCACAAACCCCAACTCGTGTTATCCACATCCATCCATCCTCGTTGTCGGTTGCTTTATGCATGCAAATTATACACAGAACAGGATCTAATAGGCGGTCGAATAATAGACTCTACCCACAACCAAATGAGGAACATGAAATAAGGCCAAATCAGTTATTCTAAGGCTATAAGATCTTAACCGTATACAATTTTAAAAGCATAAACTTAGCAGTTACAAATACCAATTATCATTCTCATTCCAGCATGGCATCCAATATTCCAAGGCTACAGGCATCACATAGCATGCCAATCTATTGCTAACTACTCAACACTAGCATGCAATTCTACCAGCTCATACAACATATACATGCATCTCCCCTAGCCCTAACTAGCATGCGATTCACAGATTCATAAACCAAATCCAATATTCTAGCCCAAATCCTTAAAAATGTTAAGAAATGAATAATACATGGACCAAACATTACATGCATTTACCCTTCAAAACAAACAATTCAAAAAGAAGAAGAAATCCAGGAATAACGAATCCAAAAAAGATAAAGAAATTTAGGAATAACGAATCCAGAAAAGAGGGAACATTCAATTGATATTGCACACCTCATTGCACGCCATGTTATGTCTCCATGGATTCTTTGGTGGTGTTGATGTTAGCCCTACATGCCACCTCATTTGCCACGTAGGATAAAAAAGACATATCGGATCGATTCAACCGTTGAGACCGGCAATAAGCAGTCGGACGGGGAAAATCTACACGAATCAACTAGTTAAAGAGCTATTAGATTACGAAAAAAATTAGTAACCAAATATGACCAAAAGTAATAGTATTTTACCCTCTCAAGTCATTATCCATTTTATATATACATACATTCAATGAATATTTTATTATTAAATCTGTAATTTTTTTTTTGGAAATCAACTTTTAAATTTATTTTTATTAGTTTTTAGTTTATAGAAGTTGATTCCTACACAATTTTTTTTTTTTTCACAAGGAACAATTTTCTTGCAAAATATCAATATTACCCTTTCCTTTATTTACCAAACTTACATTTTACCCCTTCCCACTGAAAAAATATTGTTGCCCTAAACTCTACAAACTTATAAAACATTGTTTTAAACATACAAACACGTATCTTCAATGACTATCGTTTTTTCTAGGGGATGTTTTCGAACCTGACCCTTCTCCACAAGAACCGAACAAAAGGATTTCATATTTACACCTCTATTGCCATTTTATACAAGATTGCCGGTATGTACTTTCATTGTCTTTTACACTCACTCATGCTTTCTTCGTAAGTTCTTATCCCCTCTATTAAACTGTTTGACGGATATAAAAGCTTTTCTTGGTCATTGAAAATTACAAGAAGCTCCACGAAGAAACCCCTAAAAACTTTTCATTTCAAAACAAACCCAACGATTCACTAGTTCTCTTCGATTTAAAAAATAAAGCATCTCAAAATAAAGATTAACTTCAAGAAAAAGATAAAGGAATTGGGTTTTTGTATCACAATAGTATCGCCACCAATACACCTGCCGGAAACCTTAAAGGAATTTACCCATTGGGAGAAGTAAATGTAGATCAAAGAGAACTAGTGAAAATACAACTAACAAAAGCGAAATACAAGATTTTATTTAATGTTCAAATTTAGAATTTTAATACATGAAAAAGTATTAACTTTTAATTTTATTTTTGGGAATGCTAGAGCATCGCCACCCAATAAGGCAATAATAACTCAAGTTATCTATTATCAAACCACTAAGAAAGCAAGAACTACTTGTCAACAAAACAACGTAAAAATCAATTTTCACACAGAATTTGAACAAAAGAAATTAATAAGACGCACCAACAATACCACCAATACATGCTACTTCATTATAGATTAAAGAGATCAAAGATCATCGTACAAGTTGATACTAGATATCTGTTAGATTTCATCAACTTCTAGTTCCAGGGTTTCTTCTTTTACCCCAATATCCCTAAATAATCTTTTTTTTCACCCTAACACAAAACATCCACCATTTTCAGAGATTCTTAGTTTCTTACTAGTTACTACAACAGCTTATGATATCCCCTAACGTAAAAAAAAAAAAAAACACATACACCATCACCAACTCATCATCTACCTTACCTTCTTTTATCAATATCCCCCATTAACAAAAACATTATAAAAATCAAATCATCAAGACACCGAATGTCGCCCTTTTCTCGAAGGAGTGGATACCATTTTCACATGTTCATCCCGATTTCCCGACCCAAGACTTCCAGAAGAATCCGACCCACTATTCTCCCCTGTCCCACCACCTTTACTCGACCATATTTTAGTCAAAATCCTCTTAGTTGCAACCAAACCTTTCAACTTATGAACAGAACTCCTATCAGCTAAAGGGCTCTTTGCATGTCCACCACCGTTTCTTTCAAGTCTCAGGGATGCCAGCTCACCCCTTAAAGCTTTAAGTTCTTCAGTTGTAGCAACTGCATCCCAATCTTCTTCTGTGTTGGTGTTGGTTGACCTTGAGCTCCCATGGGAGGTGCTGTTCAGATCTTTGATTGCTTTCGGGAGGTCCGGTGTGCTGCTCCCGGAGGAAGCTGCCGCCCGGACTTGCTCGAAAAACAGGACTTGCACCACCACGCGCAGCGGCAGCCGCTCGTTTTGAACCGCGTGCATGCATGCTTCCACTGAAAGCTTCTTGCAGTCCATCAACCTACAGATTCTCTTCCTCTCACTTTTACTAATCCCAGGGTGCGCCTGTAAGAAAATAGACTTACAGATCAGACAGGACAGGACAAGACATGACATAACAGGTTGTACTGGGATGTTAAAAGTAGTTCTACCTTGAGATACATATCAATGGCGCGATAAATACCATCATGAGCCGGTCTTGAAAAAACCGAAACTGTTTCAGCAAGTTCGACAAACATCGATAAAGGTAAATTCGGGTCCTTTGCCACCTCAGCAAGGTAAGAATCAACAAGTTTAGCAACCATTAATTTTGAAGCTTCTGATAATATCCCTCCAGTTGATCTCCTCACTTCTTGAATCTCATTTCCATCTGCTTCAAATTCCCCATTTCGATCTTGATCACGAACCATAAACTCTTCAACTATTTTCTGAACCGTTTTCACATCATAAATGGTGGGATCAATCCCACCTTCTTTAGCCCGAATCAATAGATCATGAACCGAAGCCTCCTCAAGTTGTTGACCAATCTTTTTGACCAAATCCATCTTCACCATTTCACCCGAATCAACCAAAATCACCATTTTCAACAGCTTAAGCAAGAAACCACAAGAAACCGCGCCTTTTTCAGATGGTAAAAGCCATACAATCGTGTCGACTATCGATCGAGTTTTTACCAAATCGCCACTGGGTATCACCCCTTTGTTAAACCCGGGTAATCTTCTAGAAGCAAAAGCTTTTAAAGCTTCACCAATCACTTCATCATGTACTAAACCCCGGTTTTTTATATGAACAAGAACCCTTTTGTATAAATCGAGTTCCAGCTCAGCAAGATCCTCCACCCACCAATCGGTTGGGACAGTTATTGTCCTAAGACCTCCGGTTAACATTCGGTTATCGTTTTCTTCCGGAAGCTTCTTTCGGTTATAAGTATACGACCAGTCAACCTTTGAAACATCAACTGATACCTTTGAAGCTATTGACTCAATGCAATGGTTGACTAGCTTTAGTTCTTCAGCCAACATCATCATTGATTTTGTTGTTTGGAGTACTATGATTGAATCTTTCCAGCTTCTGAAAATGCTCGAGTTTAAAAACACATCGATTTTGTAAATCAGGTTTCCTTTCTCCATTGTTTCATGCATTTCGAGGTAATCGGCTGCACATCGAGCAGTGACAACATTGTATGCGTTTAAGGTTACTGTCATTCCGTAACAAAACTTGGCACATATTTCAAATGCAGCGGGCCCACCGGGGATGTCATGAATGACGATTTCGTCCCCAATGCCACCATTGGTGTTTGCTACTAGCTTCTGTAAACGACCACTTTTTGATAACAAAGGAAACTGAAAAGAATACACATTTGTTGTGATGTGACATGTGAGGATTTAGTTAGAAACCTACAATGTACAACTGTAATGCGTTAATGTACAACTGCTATAGAAGGCTGGTTTTACCTTATGTAGATAGAACTTTGCATCTCCTATATTGATGACAATATCTGTTGCCAATTCAGAAGCCACATACCTGTGTTGCAAATTGCAATTGGTTCTTAGATTTTAAGCAATACTTTATTTTTTTTTATCATAAGTCATGAAAATAACCGAAAATTTGATCTTTCACACCAGAAATAAATTATAATCGAAATCAACTAATGCTACCATTATTAAAGATAACAAGAATAGGAAATCACTGATTAGGGTTCATCAAAATGCTTACCAAATATTGTTGTCGTCAGTCTGAAACGAATCGGGTTTGGATCCAAGTTTCATGAACTTCATCTTGTGTAGCTTCTCTTCAAAACTTGTTTTATCTTGTTTTCAGCTCAAAGCAAGTGAAGATCATCCACATCCCCAAATTTTAACACCGTAGAACCTAGAAATGAAGGAGAAAAGCAAGTTCAAGTTGGGTTCGTTTTTCAACAACTCCTGATGAAAGATTTTGGGGTGTTTTCTGAAATTTCATGATGATGGTTTTGTGGGTGGTTTTTTTTGAAGATTTCTTGATGAACTTTTAGTGGGGGGATTTTTCAAAGAAGGAAGAAGAAATAAGATCTGAGTCGAGGGTGAGAATATATATATATATAAATTTCTTGAAGAGAATCTTCAACACCAGACGAGTGAGAAACGTAGAGAGAGAAAATGGGGGATTGATTTTGTTGATGACTTGAAGATGAAGAATGAAGAAGATGAAGAGATAAATGGGATTAAAGAAGGTGTGTCCTTGTTCAGCGGCAAAGCCCACGGACTCCGGGCGAACCCGGCTAGCCCAGGAGACAAACCCAACAGTAACACACACTCCTCTCAATATTGACTAAACTATTCTCACTTTCTTTAATACCAGTAGAGAGAGAAAGTTAGAGAGAGAGTAAGAGAGATGAAATGAGACACCCCACAAGCACAAATCTGACTCAACCCACCCACCTCCCTTCTATTTTTGTATAATTTCTCTCTAAAAACTAACACACTGTGTTTTTTCTTGTCTGTATTAATTAAAATCTTGAAATTAGAGAAAAAAAAATAAAAACCTACAACTTTGAAGCCTAAACTAAGGAGATCAGATTACCGTTGAAGATCGAGAAACCCTGCAAAACAGATAGAAAACAGCATCTTGGAATCAGTTTCAATACGCCATGGAAACGGCAGGCAACAAGCATCTCTTGCTCTGTTTTTGTACAAGTAGAAGCAATTTAATAATGGAAACATGAGCGAAAAAATAACACAAAATCAGTTAACTCAATGAAGACCCATATGTAATGATGCTTACTTAAGCAGAATCAAATAAAAAAATCTTGTATGTATCCCACTTGAATTTAAGAGTCGTGAGACAAAATCTCACAATTATTATTATTATTATTTTTTCAATCTAATTTTTGACGGCATCAATTTGTAATGGTAAACCCACCTCGAAATACTTACAAAACAGCATCTTTTACATTACAATATTTCATATATGTGGATCCGTGGAGAGAAAAAGGTGAAGAACACGATAGCTGATTGAAGCAAGCTCTGTGGAAAAACAGAGCACCAAGCATTACATGAACAGTTTGTTTTATTTTTTTGAGATAACAGAAATGGAAGCTTTGGGTGTATTAGAGAATAGAGAAAACATAAAACAACAAAGCATGCAAAAAAGAGACAAAACCCCACCCCACCCAAAGAAAAACACACAGACAAACACCCATTAGAAGAAGACAAGCTGTTCTCCATATTCTGTGTCCACTCAAAAGCAGAAACCATTTTACACTAAAAGCCAACGTCTGTGCTGCTCAAGTGCTTACCCAGTTTCGTAAAGAATCCCACAGAGTCACTACTCTTTCTTTCTTCAGAATCTTTACCCTTTTTCTTTCTTTCTTTTTTTCTTTAATCTCAAAACCCTAATCTTGGGGAAAAGGACGACTAAAGAAAAGATGAAATACTGCTTTCAAGTTGTAATCTTTTTGTTTTGATTTTATGTTGTGTGGGGTGAAATCATTTTGAGTTGTATTTTGCAGAGATTGAGATTGAGAGAGGGCGTCGTAGTGATTAGGATGAAGACCCCGAGAGCCCAATCTGCTATGATATGCACGCCAATGCTGACAATCTGCTTTTTTGCTCCCTCTTTAAATGAGGAGTTGTACTCGCCTTTTGAGTTAAATCACATCCCCAGTTTTTACCAAATTATGGCACTTTGGACTAATGGGTTTTAGTTGGAAAATCGTTAATCGTGTCAAGATGTTGATTTAAAATGACGAAAGTAATATGAATACGATTTGTATAACTTGATTGTCTAAACTAGTCAAAGGGACTGGCAGGTCGTATAAAAAATAGGAAGCGTAATTCTAGTCTTCATTGGGTTCCTTTCCCCCGTAAATATGGTTAAAAGAATCTTGCAATCGTCAAATTCACACATGATTGTTTGAACTTTGAAGAATGGATGATACTGATTTAGGAGCATCAAACTGATACATGTCTGGATGATATTAATTTAGGAGCATCATTTAAGTTTAATAATTTTTCATGAAAAAACACTTTCATACACTAGAAAAGATTTTATATAAAATACATATGGGCCAACTATACAAGGCCTTCGGAAATAATAAAGGGCTATACTAGAATAAATACAAACAACTGAATACACAAAATAAATCCATTAACAACCCCGCATTTGGAACGGAAGATGGTTGGCGAACGTTCAAACTGGACCGAAAATCAAGAAACAAAGTGGAAGGAAGGCTTTTAGTGAAGATATCTCCATATTGAAATTTGGATGGAACATGAAGGACCCGAACACGACCGGTGGCAACTTTATCTTGAACAAAGTGCAGATCAATCTCAATATGTTTAGTCTCTTGATGTTGAAAAGGATTGGAAGACGTGTATACGACACTTACATTATCATAGTATACAAGTGTAGCTCGATGAGGAGAGTAGTATAGCTCAAGAAGTAAATTCTGAATCCAACATGTTTCAGCAACAGCATTAGCAACCCCATGATATTCGGCCTCAACGCTGGAACGGGATATAGTAGACTAGCGTTTAAAGGATCATGATAAAAGATTATGCCCCAAGAAGACACAATAACCTGAGGTGAAGCGCCTAGTAACAGGACAGTCAGCCCAATCAGCATCAGAATATGCTATCATGTCACGAGATGGAGAACAAAAAATTTAAAGTCCTTGATCAGAAGTACCACGAACGTAACGTAGAATGCATTTAAGAGCAACAAAGTGAGGCTCACGAGGATCATGCACGTAGAGACATATATGTTGAACGGCATACGTGATGTCTGGTTTAGTAAAAGTCAAATACTGAAGACCACCAGCAAGGCTACGATATAGAGTAGGGTCTGTTACAGGAGGTCCCCGCCCATCAAATTTGGCACTAAGATCGGCTGGAGTAGAGGCAGGTTTGCAATTCAACATAGAAGCACGAGCAAGAATCTAATTAGCATATTTCTGTTGAGACAAAAACAGACCATTAGCGGTCCGGGTGGCAGTGATACCTAAAAAATAATGAAGATCTCCAAGATCTGACATAGAAAACTCAGATCCAAGCAGCTTAATGATATGAGACAGAAGTTAAGGAGATGAGTCGGTGAGAATTATATCATCCACATATAACAATAGATAAGCAATATGAGAGCCCTTCATGTAGATAAATAGAGAAGAATCACACCTGTTGTTAATAAAACCAAGACGTGTAATAAAATGTAGTAAAATGTTGAAACCATGCATGGGACCTGTTTGAGACCATAAATAGATCGTTGAAGGAGACAAACATGATCCGGTAGAAATCCCAAAAACCAGGGGGTTGCTGCATATAAATGGTCTCTTAAAGATGACCATGAAGAAAGGCATTCTTTACATCAAGTTGTCGAATTGGCCAATGGTGAGTAATTGCAATGCTGAGAACAATACGAATGGTAGCGGGTTTGACAACTGGACTAAAAGTCTCATCACAATCAATACCAGGTCTCTGACTTTGTCCATTAGCAACAAGACGAACTTTATATCGAGCTAGAAATCCATCCGCATTAAGCTTCTTTTTAAAAAGCCAAATGCAATTAATAATATTAGCACCCGAAGGTCGTGGCACTGGAACCCGTGTTTTGTTAAAAATAAGAGTAGAGTGTTCCTCTTGCATCAATTTGAGCAAGTTAGGATCCTTAAATGCCTGTAAGTAAGTTCGGGAAGAGGAAAGGATGACTCGACATGAAGATTAAGCTTGTCAATAGGTTTTTTAATGCCACGTTTAGCACACGTGAGCATTGGATGATGGGATTGAGACGGAAGAGAAATAACAAAAGCGGAAGTGGAATTTATAGGAGCTGTCGAGGGAGTGCTCTCGACAGATGAGACATAATCAGCGGTGGCTGAGGTAGCCATTCATTTATAGGAGTAGGAGAGGAGGTCTCATGAGGAGGCTCCTCCTTAGAACTGTGAGTAGAATGAGGCGATTGAGTAAAGGAGAAATTAGAGTCCTGGTGGTGGGAGTTTGGATCAAGTCTGGGTGATAGATTGGAAGGGAGGTGAATGTTTTCAAGGAAAGAGTAAGACGGGGGAGCATCAGGAGTCATGGATCCAAATGGAAACACGGTTTCGTTAAAGACGACATGTCGAGAGATAATAACCTGTTTTGTATGGAGATTAGGACACTGATAACTCTTGTGATTGGTGGGATATCCAAGAAAAACACACGGAGTGGAGCGTGGTGAAATTTTATGAGGGGTGACGATGTGAGGGAAACAAAGACACCCGAATACTCGAAGATGATCATATGAGAGGCAAATGCGGTAAAGTTTATGAAACGGTGTGTTATTGTCAATGGTGGTAGATGTGAGAATGTTTAAGATATGTTTGGCCATTTAAAGAGCCTCAACCCAATAATCGGGAGGGAGGCGAGCATGAAGGAGAAGAGTACGAATAATATTGGTTATAGTGTAAAGCATACGTTCAGATTTTCCGTTTTGTTGAGATGTATGAGGACATGAAAAACGCATGAGAATTCCATTTTGATCATAGAGTTGATGGGATGGATTATTATTGTATTCACCCCCATTATCACATTATAGGGCATTAATATCGGTTTTGAATTGATTTTGAACAATAGACCGAAAATGAACAAATTAAAAATAAAAATAAAAATAAAATAAAAAATCCGATTTGGCATGTAAGGGATAAACCCACAAAAAATGAGAGAAATTGTCAAGAAAGATAACATAATATTTAATGCCACTAATACTCGTGACCATTGAGGTGCAAACATCAGAGTGAACAAATTCAAAAAGGTGACTTAGAAACATAATTAGATAAAGTAAATGGCAATTTAACATGTTTTTTTCCCAATTGACAAGATTGACATAAAGTTGAAATTTTATTGGTTGAATAAGAAATGGCTTGACTATCAACTAATTGCTTGAAGACGTGATGATCGGGGTGACCGAGTCGATGATGCCAAACAAGCGGAGCAACATAAACGGATGCTTGAGGAGAAGGAGTAGTGATCGGATAGAGGTCACCGGTGCTATCACATCGCATGAGAATGTGTTTGGTTTTGAGATCCTTCACAGAAAAACCAAAAGGGTCTAATTCATTGGAACAATTATTTTCACAAGTAAAACGGTGGACATAAATGAGATTTTTAATAACTTGGGGAGTGACTAAAACATTTTTCAAAACAAGAGTATGATAAGGATTAGGGAGAGGAATTGTGGTGTGTCCGACCTTACTTACACGGATTGTGGATTCGTCCCCAACTAAAACAGATGAAGACAAATTGCTTTTATCTAAAATAGTTTTAAGTATACTTGCATTTACATGAAGATGTGAGGTAGCACATGTACCATCCCGCATTTACCGGATCATTTAAGGACATGGAATTAAACATTTTCGAAATGGTAGTGGGTTGTTCATGTGGCTGTTGGACCTGATGAGGGGATACAAATGCTTGTTGGACAAGTGCAGATGGAGGCCTTAAGAAAAAATGAGGTCGTTGGGCTGATTGCTTGGAGCTGCTGAAGTGTTGCTGCACTAGTAAAGCTAGGTTCGGCAGCAGGCCTTGTTGGGCATGTTGTTGCTGTTGGACCTGGTACCATCTGTAATCCCACCTGGCTCGTTGGTAAGGTTTTTTTCGCAACTGAGATGTACCGCCAAACCTACTACATCCTGATATACCGCCCTTGCCACCACGACCATTCCAGCCACCCCATCCACCACGAAAATTATTGGAGCCCCGATAATTGTTTTGATATTGATAAGAGACATCGGTAGCAAGAATAGTAGGGGAAGATGAATGATATGAGTGAGGCATGGAAGCGGTTTTTTTAATCATAGAAGCATTTTATGTTCTTCCATGATTAGCATAGAGTGGATGTCCATGAAAGACGGAACCGACCTTTGATGATGGATGGTGGTGGCAATGTACTGGAACTTCTTTGTTAGACCACTAAGAGTGTATGACACCAGATTCCTTTTAGGAACATGAGCATCAAGGTTCTCCAGCAAATCAGCTATGGTTTTTATGCGGGTATAGTAGTCCATAACAGAAGAATCACCTATGGTGATGTTTCTCAACTCATATTCAAGTTAAAGAGCTTTGTTTTCCTCGTTATCTCGAAAAAGTTTTTCAAGATCAACCCATATAGAATGAGCAATGGCTTTCTTTTTCAAAATCATGTGTAATAAAGGTTGAGCAAGGGTGTTGTAAAGCCATGACTTAACAATGGAATCGACTCTAAATCATCCAGTATCATCGATTTCCTTGGCTTTGGGGGGGGTTGAAGGTGATGAGCAACACCAAATCCTAGACAGTGAGTTTCAAATAACTCCCACCATATGTCATAATTCATACGGTCTAGGTCCAAAACCAAGGGAACATCATGCTTAATGTTTATAGTAGAAGAAGGTTTAGTATAGGAATAAGATGATGAATTTGTCATTGATTAAGATGCAGGAAACATCAAGAAGTCTTGATTGATGAAGGAGAGATTGACAGAAAAGAGAATAGTAAGATGGAGAAGTAAAGGATCGGTTATGGTTGAGCGACCTCGAATGATACCATGTAAGTTTAATAATCTCCGATGAAAAACACTTTCATACACTAGAAACGATTTTATACAAAATACATATGAGCCAAATATACAAGGCCTTGAGATTTAATAAAGGGCTATAATAGAATAAATACAAACAACTGAATACAAAAAATAGATCCATTAACACATCAAACTTATACATGTCTTT